ATGTTACAAACTGGACCTTTAAAGGAACCAAAAAGTTGCTAAATTAGTTTCTTCTGTTGGAGCTTCACATGTTGGAGGAAGGGTAAGAAGCATTTGTAATAAGCTATATTTTGTTGAAACTATTGCCTGTATACTTAATTAAGTCCATATTGAGGCACATTCTACTTCTCCTTCACTACACTTTATTGTACTTTTTACTCTTATGGCTGTTATTCTGCAGATTATACATCCAGCATGAGGAAAGCTCATAAAACGTGGCAGTTTTCAGGATGCTTGTAGAAAAAGTTTTACCTTAATTAGAATCACTTTAGCTCTAGGGATGGCAACGTTGGTTTGTCTGTTGATCCACCACTTTGGTCCAGACTAAACATTTTTGAAGTTTGACATACGTGGTAGGATGAATCCTATTGACTTTGATAATCGCCTGACTTTTTCCTCCAGTGCCAGTATGAGGTTTATATTTGTGGTTTTGAGTGACACGTTAAAGCACCACTGTGCCTATAAGTACAACCTCACAGCATGGCTGCAGACTCTTTGTCTTATTTCTTCTGTGAGCCCTGCTGGTCTGCAGCCTTAACACAGATTTTCACAGTTTGGGGATTGTAGAAAAAGCTTTTTTTTTGCTGAACTTATTCTTTGCTGACTGTGGCTTATACAATCACAGACTTACCATAACACACACACGCTGACAGCTGGCTGCCTGCTAAGCCACAGCAGGGTTAGAAGTGGGGTATTAATATCCATTTCATCAAAAGTAAGAGCAAAATGTATTTCCCCTGGAATCTATGTATCTATTAGTCATCAGATTATGACAAATGTCTTCACAAGAAGTTTTTTATCTTATCGTACCACGATATGATTAACTTCCCTCGTCTTTTATTATGTTTGAGATGTGTGTTTAGTAGGTGTGTGTGTGTGTAAACACTGTGGCTGCCTCTTTTATTTCATCCTAATCCCCCATGTGCCTTGTGACAACATGGCCCTCGGTGCCTCCAAATCGGCCATGTCGGCTCGCCTCCAGCAGCCCAGCGGCGGATGTGTTGTCCCTTCTGGTGACAATAATCCACCTGGTATTGTGACTGTCAGATTTTTCTCCATCTTGACATTCAGATATAAGATACGTACAAACAAGCATTATTTGCTCATGGTTTGTGTGTGTGACTGTTCAGCTGAGTGACGGGTGGGGGTTTAAAACAGGACACAAGTGGCAGGGTTAGGAAATGTCAGGTTATCGTACTTGCCTGCTCACAAGTTTCTGTATCCTGCTGCTCCACCCATCTGGTATGACTTGCATAAAACAAACCACAAATGATGCTTTGTTCCACCAGACATCGCTTGGAAACACGCTCTAAGCTGCTCTTACAACATGACTGATTAAGAAAACAGTTGCACTTATTTAAAGATAGTACAGTGATGATTTAAGGAGAGATCCCAGACTAAGAAAAAAAGCTGATGTGATTTTTTGCTAAGTGTGATATTTGACTTTTTTATGCTGGTAACCTGTCAAAAGTAGAAGATATAAGAACATACTGAGATATTTCCAGCACAGCTTCACTGGAGTTTGGTATCTACATCATATAGGCTGTATGTCAGATTGTGGTGTCAAGTTCCTCAGAATAAATAACCAAAATCTTATTTCAGGAAACATAATTTTGCACAGATCAAAAAATCCACACAATGAAGTGCCCTCTAGGGTGTCCTTACAGTGGAGAAAACACAATAAAGAGACTTCTAGGGTGTCCTTCCAGTGGAGAAAACACAATAAAGAGACTTCTAGAGTGTCCTTCCAGTGAAAAAATGTGGTAAAGTGCCCTGTGGGGCTAATCCTAACGCTGACTAAGTTGATTCACTGTAAATGCACTACAACTTGTGCTGGTGACCTTTTTATTTTTTTTCACCCCTTCTCAAACAGAGTCCACCACAGCATCCAATGATTGTCATCATCTGAGGACCGTGGTTGTTACGATGTCGGTCTGGACCCGAGTGGCAGACTGACAGACTGGAGGCAGGCCTACAAACAAACAAAAACAGATGGAAGTTTCGGCATCTTAAAATCACTCACCACGTCAGCCTCGTCATCATTATTTGCTCAGAATTTACACAAATAGGTCCCCCCATAAAAAACGAGGAGGTATTTTTCTCCCTGCCAGCTTTGTAGAACATAAAGCTGAGGTGGGCCTGGATTAAACTGGGCAAACTCCTGCTGGCCTCACAGCTTCCAACTGGAACATCTTTTCCATTTGCACACTGGCGCACCATTCCAAGACATTACAGCATCCCAGTAAAAACACACACACTCATTCAAAAAGAGGGCTACAATAAATTGGAGCAGGATGAATTATTCAGTGTTTCTCTCGGACCTCATGGACACTGCTTTTTCAAAGTCACAGGGGACCCTCCGCACGATCACGTCGGAGCTCTCCATATGCTCCAGCGATGCATCTATCAGCCCGAAACATATTCTATCGGTTCGGGCCGAGTTCTCAGGCTCGATCCTGTCTCCCTGCCCAGGCGAGGGAGTCATCAGGATCCATCCGAGGCCCTGATGTAGAAAGCAGTTGGCAGACTTCACCACGAGGGTGTGTGACTAAATGCGTTGCTGAGCAGTCGGGCTGTTGTGATTCTGTTACTCCATCTGGCTCGGCTCAGTGTAGGAAGTCCATTAGCAGGACAAGTAACAGTGTGGGTATTCTCCAGTGCCTCAGCCCCGAGGATAATGGGCCTATCTGGGAAAGGACTTCCAGATGAGAGATGGGTGATGCTGAATGTCCATGAATAGATAAGTATAGCCATTCCTCTTCATTTATGGGAACAGGAAGAGGAAGTGCTTTAATCTAAAATGTCACTTGCATTTTAGAGAGAAATTTAACATTTAACAAAAAAAAACTAATATCTTAAATAAGCTCACCATCTGCATATGTGCCCAGGCTCTAAAGATACCTGTAGGTCTATCTTATTTCTGACAGTGTCAATTGATTTTTTTTAATTGGCTAATGTTTCATACTTTGGAAGTCCATTACTGCCAGGAAAATAATAATTGATTAAGTAGGAATAATGAATAAACACTGTAGTAATCAATGAGACACTCAGCACAACTATGAGACACTGAGTACAATTTTAAAGGATAAGAAAAAGATTAAATTTAAAATTATACTTTTATATTATATATGATTTCACAATTGTAGATATCATAATCATAATTCTGACTTAAACAATCATAACTTTCCTAATCATGACTTACTATATCAGTATACTAAGTCACAGTTAGGCAATATTAAATCAAAATGTGTATTATGTCAACATTAAGATGTTGTACGTCAAATTCATGATTTAAAAAATCGAGTAAATATTTATAAATAACTATACATTTTCACCAACTAAATCATAATTTTGACTTCAAATTAAACATTTTAATAAGTATTTATAGTTTATTTATAATAGTATTTCATATTTTTAAAATTGTATCTTTCAACTTGACTGACTGACTCAAACTGACTTTATTCACTTATTTTCCTCCTGGCATTAATGAGCTTCTGTATGTTTGGATAACATTTTTATATACTCCTATATAATCTAAATGTAAGCAAAAATAAGATGTTAACACAGTAAATACCAACAGCACCAGTTTGAACATCTGCCACACAGCGTGGTATCAAACACACACAGACACACACACCAACAAACATGAGTGGAAATGTTTATTTATTACTGATTAAAGCCAGACAGACAAACAGATGCGTCGCCCCTCAGATTCAAATAACTTCAGCGAGAAATGTGTCATTAATGCTCTCAATCTTTATACAGTATACACACAGTGGTACAAATGTTCCCACTTAAAAAAACACTATAAGTTCAGAAACAGTCTTAGCAGAGAATGTGTGCAAATCTTTATAGGTGAAGAGGAAGAGGAGGAGATACAGATGATGCTACAACGTGTGTTAAAGTTAACTTAATGTTGCAGGATTTCTCCAAACTATTCAAACCTTTAGATTTAGTGGTTAAAAACACAACTTTGAGTCGTGTAAGTCAACTGTTCCGAGTGTCACTGAGCAACAACAACACTGCATCCCGACTCAAACATACATTCATTGTATTATTTATTTCCAATAAACTGTGGAGTCCTGCTTCTTGAACTATCTCCCCAGGCGTGTGGTGAACAGACACATTTTATAACAATATTGCTATTAAAATGCACACATCGATCGTAGGTTCCAAGTCATTTTGCGTTAGTTCCAGTTCTTATCACGCGGATGTGCGATTTGACAATAAATAAACAGGACATCCACTTTTAAAGTGCCGTACTACTGTGACCTGTCTTAAAAAAGTGAGACTATATAACTTTTCCAAGAAGAAACAACACAATCTTCCTCTTGCAAATAAAAAGTTGAATTCAAAAGCAATAAAATGCTCAATTCAACCCACACAGGAGATTTACTGCTGCAGCCTTGCTTGGACTGGTTTGTCCCGTAGCTCATGGTTGTTAATGTTAGTTAGATATATTTATGACTCTTTGTTACAGTAGATGTACGGCTGCAACTAACAATTATTTTCAATATAAATTAATCTGCTGTTTATTTTCTCAAATTAATCATTTCGTCTATAAAATGTTTAAAACAATAGTGAACAAAAGCCAAAATGACAAAGAAAAAGCAATAAATCCTCACATTTAAGAAGCCTGAATCAGTGAATTCATCAATAAATTATCAAAAATAGTTAACAGCAGATTAATCTACTGATCAGGGTTTCCCCCTCTGTGTGATTATACTGTCACTGCCACTTGTGGCCACTTTTACTGCTGTTTGAAAGTTACACAGTCTCACTTTAAATGAGTTCTACTTCATAAACTTTGAGTGTCTTGCAAAGGAGATTACAAAGAAAATTGGATGAGAACTTAAAACAATGCATTAAAAAGGTCCAGTGAGTAAGATTTAGTGGCCTCTAGCAATGTAGTTGCAACCTTCTCACTTCACCCTCCCCTTTTAAGTACTATGGTGGCTGAAAGTTGCTATGTAGAGCCAGTGTTTGGTTTGTCTATTCTGGGCTACTGTAGAACCGACACTAATCGAAACATACTTATTCATTTCATACCCCCATTTCTGCCTAAATGTTACACACTGGAACCTTTAAAGAGAGGATGCTGTCTGGTAGCAATAATTCACACACTGTAAAGACACTAATAATAGTGATAATAATACTAGCTGCAGAAGCCGCCTCAAATGTTTAAATAAAACACAAAAACACACTGTAAGACGAATGCTGTTTTGTTTAGTACCAGTCCATGCTAACAGAAACTGTAAGTACAATCTTCAGAGTCACAAAAGGCATTTAACAGTACTCCTGCAGAGTGTGTATGGCATATCAAGCAGTGATTGAGGCCTACACAGTGTTACAGGAGGGGATGGGAGACGGAGAGAGGCAGGAAGAGAGAGACAGAAAATAAAAAATAAAACTGCCGACCAAGGCTTGTAATCATCTCCTGGTGAGAACGAGCACTAACTTCTGTTGTTACAGCTCTTTTTCCTCTGGGCGGCTGTCAATAGAGCCCATTTTCTTCCGAGGCGACGTGTAGGGCAGTGAATCCCTTCTAGCGTTACAGTGACACATGCTTTTCAAATGTCAGAGTCTACCTCCCTCTTTCTCTTTATTTCTCCCCTCCTGTTGAGCGACCCCAGACATTCCTCCTGTTACTTCATGCACAGAGAGAAGGAGAGTCGCAGTCCTGTTCCGCTCAGCTGTTAGAGCATGACAACAACTGCGCCCAAGGTTAACTCAGGTTTTAAAAAAACGTCTGCACTCGAAGCTCTGCGAGGTGCTTTGGATACAAGCGTCCGATTCACACAGCCTGGCCATTAACTCGTGCACTTCCAACATTCAGATGCATTTCCAGTTCAAAGATGTCCGAGCATTGAGAGGGATGGGGGGGGGGGTTATTTATTAGTAAACAGTCATGGTCAGGTGGCGCCGTTACTGCTCGGTGGGACACATGTTGCGGTCTTTGCAGCAGAAGTAATGCACCACCACGCCGTTGGGATACCTGGCAAACGCACTGACAGAGAAAGAGAAACAAATAGAGAATGCTTTACTGCTGGAAGGATTATTTCTCACTGCATCACAGCAGATAAACAAGCGTTTAATTAAAAAAAAAAAGAGAGGGAGAAAACAGTCAAATAAAAATGAACAGGGTATGAAATGAACTGCGGTCCAGAGCGTGAAATTGTGTTCAAGTTAATAAAACTGCAGGCACATAAGCATCTGATAAAAGACAGAACATAAATGATATAAAGCAGAAGATGGTGTTAATACATTGATGGTGTCATATAACCTAATAACTCTTCAGAAAATCAGTTTACTTTTTTAAGATTTGTCACACAATGGTATTATAAAATATGCGCAGTGAAATGAGGGGAGGATGTGCTAAAAGACTAATGTGCAATAATAATAATTAGAATAGGAGGGACAGAAAGGATAAGAGAGTTATATATAACATATAAATTCATGTAATATAAGTATGTGTGCATCTTTTCATAGTTTTCGGAGACAGTGTTACCTGTTCCCGATTTTCTTTTTGCACACCCTGCAGGTCTTCTCCTCTGTAATCACACATTTAACCTGCTGGTGGAAGATTCGCTCCTCCTGCACCTGAGAACACAGAGCGCGCCAGGTGAGCCCAGACAGGCGTAAATCAGCTTTAACATCTCGTTTCTGTGTTACCTGTAGGCTAGATTACAACAACCCTTCATCTCACCTTCACCTTCAACACAAACATTCAAAAATACATCATGACAGACAGTAAAACTAAAGTATAAAAAGACTTCACTCCAGCTTCACCCCCATCCTGACTCTTATACGGTACACTTTCACCTCTTCAGTCCACTGAAAGTAAAAGTCCAACATATCTTTCCACCGTTAAATGTTTGTTTGGTTGCTTCAACCAGCTACAGGACAAGACATGTTTGTAAATTAGATAAGAAGGAGACTTTAGCAGGAATGTAATGCGAGTTGTTGTTGTGGCTCTTGTGTTGTGTATCAGGCTGCCATCTGGCTGTTGGTGGTAGTTCACTGGAAAGGGTTTGGCGGGCTGTATAGAAACAAGTTCTCCATGTACGTACAGAGAGAACAGTTTCTGATTGTCTTTCTCAGAAGGAGAACAGAGTACATGTGATTCACTGATCAGATATGTACGCTGTAACAGACAATTTAATTACAGTTGGAGGGAAAAATCAATCTTCAACTGAAATGCTCTCCGTTACCAGACATGCAACCTGTGACCAGGGGCAGTAAATAGACTGCGCTTTGTTTTAAAAAGGGGTCAGATGAGGCACGAAACCCCGGGACTATATAAACGGTGCTCTTTCATCCGTTCCTGTCAGTGCTCACATCATATTGCGTCCTACGTGTGCTAGAGGATGTTTCACTGTAAAATCAATTATGGTATAAGGTTTCACGGGTGCAGGTAGAACCGCCACTTAGCTACATCATCTGGAAATTGATGAAATACAACATGTTTAACACAATACAACATATACTTCAGCAACAGACACTGGAGCAGAAAGTTCCTGAATTCATCCACATTGTTCAAATCTTCAACTTCCTCTCTAATGGGTAACATTTGAATGGTCTTACGCTTCTGACAAATTGTCCTTCAGCCTGAGGGCTTTAGTTCTCTCTACTGAAATTTGAATCTAATTTACATGAACCACCATGTAAACAAACCCTCCAGGACTCACCCTGAGGAACTCTGCCTGCAGCAGACTCTTCAGCACCTGGTTGCAGCGTTTCCTCTGTGCCTTCTCCTCCAGGACGCTCTCCAGGAAGACCCGGATCTCTCGGATCTGGGTGTTTGCTGGGAGCAGATTGATGGCCTGGAACAAACAAGAAGGTTGGCTCATTAAACACTGCTGACCAGACATTATTAGTGGATTGGATGGAGGAAACGTCCCCTTTCAGAAGCAAATTACATTCGCTTACACGAGTATAATTTATCAAAATGAGCATCTTCTCTGGCGGCGGTGGTAATCTTCGTGTTTTGGTGAAACACAGTTGTGAACTGAACTGAGGGAACAGTTATAAAGACTTCAAATAAAGTAATTTCCACTTTCATTATATTAATTCAAAAGGAACATAACTCAATCATCTCCGTAATAATATTAAATTAAATGACTCCCTCGTTGGAACAGTAATCTGCTGTACGACATGTTAGACCACTGTTAACTGGCATCCCCGACGTTGGCAGCAGCATCTTCTCTTACCTTTAGAAATCAGGTCTGTGTAAATGCTCAGGGAAACACAATCAAGGCCCTGTAGTCCTGTTGTCCTCCTGCTCGACTTAATTAAATTAAATTAGTTCAAATGGCCTCATTACACCTCTGACAGCGAACTTTCCTCCTGACAAACAACTGAGGAACAGAGCTGGGGTGCTGTTTTTCACTATTTTCAGGTAATTTATCGACTAAATGAAAAACTGATCGTTAAAAAGAAAAGTATTGCGAGACTGATGATGAAAATTATCTTTAGTTGCAGTTCTAAACAAGAAATCGTTAAAAATGAGCTCAAAATGATTCAAAATTGACTAAGAAACGCACACAAAGACTGCTTCATGCTGGAAGTTTTTCACGGTCTCGTCTTGTGCTCTCTTGGCGAGGCGGGGGCTGGGAGGGAGGCCAGGGGAAAGGAAAGCAGAGGTGCCATTAAAGTCAATGAGGGAGCGCAGGGAGACAGAATGGCACAAAAAGACAAGATGGAGAGCTCCTGGCTGTAGACTCTAAACCTCAACATTCACATAAACCTACAGTGTTCTCCTTGAGAGACTCTTAATTTGACATGTCTGTGGCTGAACACAGATCAGCGGGGCCTTTCACACGCAATCACATCCACTTTAAATCACAGATACAACAACAGTCTGTTATGGTGCATTTTACAAGGAGGAGAGAACAGATAAACTTGCTTGTTTTGTTTTATTAAAATATTTATTGAGACACAGCGGAGGCGTTTCAAAGGCCGTGCCTCTGCTCCTTTGTGATAAGATATGGAGAGAAAGAATATACAATCTGCTGAGTGTTTCCGCCTCAACGTGAACTCTCTGGAAAGATTTTTTTGGATTGTATTGAAAAACAAACCAAACACCTAAAGTGTTCTTGAAGGGATATCTTCTTTACTAGACAGCAGTCGGTGGATTGCGACACGGATGCTTGAAAAGGCAAAATAGGCCGTGAGCTAGTTTAGTTAGCTTTCATTCAATTAACTCTTTGCTATTTTGGTTCTGGGTTCAGGTAAGTAGGAACAGATATATGAAAGGAATTTCAGAAGAGATATTCACAACGCAGACGCCTCTCGAGGGAGTTTAGCACCCTGGTGGAGATCTTTTTTTGGTTTCGCTGGATCTTTTCTATCACAAAGGCAGCAGCTTGATTGCCCCCGACAGCGAAAACCCCTCTCATCCCGCTCTAAAAACAAACTAAATCAAATTTTTTAAACGAGTTGTGTTCAGTTCAGTCGCTGCTTTAATTTCACACCAAATGCCAAATGACTAATTCTGTGAGAGCGCGTGTCATCGTTAATCATGTTATTCTATCTCATTTTAATCCAGCCTAAACAAGCCCACTCTTATCAGTTTCACTTTCAATGCCACGTCTTGTTTGAATAAGCAATGATTACTAAATTTAAGCGATGGCACAGAGTCAGCTTATAATAATAAAGCCCTGGGTTGAATTAGAGACTAATTCTTGCTTTCTGATTTAATGAGCGGTTTGAAGTAGCAGATGGGAGTTTGCCGCATACGAAAGTTGAATTAAAGTGCAATAATTTTATGCACACATCACAAGTACTTGCCTGTGACTGACAACTTCCTTGACATTGTTTGTAAGAACAGAATTATTTATTTGTGAGTATAACTGGGGTTTGTTCTCGACTCAGCCTGTTGTCGTTTACCTTGGTGGTGTTGAGCTTGCTGTGGTGCAGCTCCAGGACGTGCAGGGCCGCCTGGAGGTTGGCCTGAGGCTCTGACAGCTCCATCGTGATGGGCCCCAGGCAATGGACATCAGGCGGTGACAGGTACATTCGCAGCAGAGACAGATAAACCTGAAGGGAAGAAATACAGCTGTTATTACACATTTTATCTGAATCAGAATCTTTTTTTTTATATCACTTGTGCAGAAATTTGAGACACAAAAAGACAGCAAAATGTCACGTAAGACAATAATAAACAGCAAATAACAACAGATTTACTGAATTTACTGACAGTTAGATACAATAAGATCATATTTGCCAAGTTACAAGACAAAAATGAATCAAAATGGATTAAAAATGATGAAAAACTGTAATGAACTCAAACTGTATTGTATTGTATTTCTACTGTGGGATATCTTTTGGAATATTATTTGTGGTTTACTATTTGGTTAAGTTATTGTTTATGTTTTTTGCTGTTAGATGGAGGGTTAACATGCCAGAATGTTAGTTAGTTAATGTGTCTGAATAATGAAGGATAGGTCATGTAAATGACCAGACATGGAAATTAAACATTCATTCATATAAAAATAATATAGAAGAAGTTAGAAGCAGGTGAAACATGTTGGGTTTACATGCAGATATAGTTTGACAATTTGGGAAAATACACTTCACCAAAGGGTAAAAATGTTTATAATAAATAAATAAAAAACAAGATATAACGTGTTTATTACTGAACTTTAGCTATGCTGCTCGGACCGAGACGGGCTAGCTGTTGCCAGTCTTTATGCTAAGCTAAGCCAATAGTATTGATCGAGAATGGTATCAATATTCTCATAAAAAGCGAATAAGTGTTTCCTAAAATTTGTTTAAAATCAGCCTTTAATATTGGGTTTAATATTAACAGTAGACTTCACACACGAGCATCCAATATTCGTTCTTCTTTCTTTCTTTCTGACCTTTACAGGAACAGTAATGACTCATTGATACAATCCAACGCTTATTCATTAGTTTTCAGTACTTTAACATCAGTCTGTCGAACAACATTTTATACACATAACAGACAATATCAGCTGTCATTTCTGTGAGATTAGGTTTTTCGTAAAACTGGCAATGTGCCTGTCATTGGGTGCTTGAGCCATAAATAATCCATTATATTTGTATAGCAGTTTCTGCAGACACAAAGGCACTTAGCTGAAGGCAGCAGAGTGTAGAAAATGAAAAAAGTGGTCATAAAACAAAAACAAACACAACAGAGCTAGAATAAAACCCAAGTGGACACAACAAACACAACAAAAGTGAGTAGGACGAGGTGAAGAAGCATTTTTTTCCCCTGAACAATTAACAAATCATGATGAAAAAGCTTTAAAATAAAATAAGATTAAAAGCTACTTACATCTTTATTCCCTTCCACTGAACTGTTGTAATGGCCGTGACAGTATCTGCAGAGCACACAGAAAATCACGAGTGGATAAAACATGCTGCTTATTTCCATCATGTTGACCAATTGTTCTAATTTGATCAATGTTTGCTGCCTTGCAGAACAAGCTTGCAATTAAATGATTTCAGATGATTTCAGGTCAGAGAACAAATTATTGACTGTTCCAGACTCTTTTACAGTCAGAAGTTAATTAGTGCTGGAGTTCGCAAACATTCGGCTTGTGGTTGGTGTTCAGGATTCTGTGGTGTTTGCAGGAAAACTCACTCTTCAGCCATGCGAGTGTCCTTCAGGATGTGCACATAGATGAAAAGTGCCTGCTCGTGTTTACCCATTCGACCCAGAAGCAGAGCCCGTTCCTCCAACAGGCCTTGGAGATGGAAAACAAGGTCAAAAGGTGCAAGTTACACCCTTCAGCTATATAACTTCACTAAAACGTTCCTCTATAACGGAGAACATATGTACATGAGGTAATAGGAAATATAGGAAATACTTTGTTTTCCTTAGGTGCATGTTACATTTATCTTGATATTAAAATCTGTGGTTTACTTTGAATTTCCAAAAACAGCTTATTTCCTTCCATACCCAAGATTTAAATGCTTAAGACATTATCATCACGAAGGATCATCAGCTTCATTAGAAACCTACATCATTTTTGTATTTGTTAAGGTTAGAAGAGACGTCTTGTTTGTCCACTGTGTAAACGCGGTTCTTACCATCAAAGGGAAAGTCACTGATGAGTCTGGCTGGTTCGTAGCTGGTAGAAATATCCAGGAAGGACAGCAGCTTGTTTCTGTACTCGCCCAGCTCACCTTTCTCCTTCCCCGCAGCAACAGCAGGAACTCCTACAAAAGGCAAAGAGGTTTTAATTATAGCCTAGAGCTGCAAACACTGGTCCATCAATCTGATTAATCTGCAACAGTTTTGATAAATCAACTAATATTTCTAGTCATTTTTTAAAGCAAAAATGCCAAAAATTCTGCTTCCACCTTCTAAAAAGTGAATATTTGCTGCTTTTCTGTGATAGTAAATTGAATTTCTTTGTTTTTTGTTCTTTGATTCTTAATAAAGTAACTGAGAAAATGATTGACAGATAAAGATAGAGTTTTAAACCACTAGTTGCGCTAATGTGTTTCTCCTTCTTTGTTTGTAATGTGCACCTCGCCCACAACGAAGACGATATCCAAGCATGTGGACGGTGTGGTTCACATCCTGTCACACTATTCCACTGATCAATGCCCCAAAAAATGCAGCGAATAAAAAGACTGGCAAGCAAACATCGATGTAGGAAGATACGTTTTCAGGTTTTCTTTTTTTTTTTTAAAGAAAGCTCCAAAGGAAAACTCAAAAAGGCACATTTGAGGTCAACCTGAAATGTACAACTGCTGCTTAAAGAGGCTTAAATATTTACAAAGTCAGAATGCTGTAATGTTGAACAAGGTCCGATTTCATTGTCGATAATCTCATAGAAACAATATCATAATATCCCAGGCTCTGTACTGCAATATGCTTCATAACATAAAACGAAGCAATAACCTTCCCCCTTGGACAGATTTATTTATTTTATTAGTTGCTTTTATTAGTTTATTTCTCTGACAGAGTGTGTTTTAATGAGCATCCCTGTAAATGTAGCTGCGTTGGCTGGGAGGTTCATTTCAATACACGGTCCCTGGATGATCATTAAAAGGCACAAACAGAGAAAGACGGATGAACTACAGAATAAGTCCCGACACAGGCTTGTTTTGCAAAGAGACAACTATGACTGGATGAGTAAACAAAGGCAAACTCAACCCACATGCAGTGATGTAATCACATGAAAATCCTGCAATAAATTAGAATCATGTTCTTTGGCATTAATTTGATTTCCAAATAATGGAGGGTAAAGAAAATATTAAAGCCCAACAGTCACATTGCCCAATTACACATTTCCCTCTAAAGAACTCCTTTTCTGGCTTTGCTTGAGCTATTAATCATCGAATGTTAAATATCTGTCAGTACCTCTAATTACCTATCTGTATTAGCCCTTTATTTCTTGTAAAAATGTCTAAAAACATCATTTTTATAATTATTAAAGTAGAAAAAACAAGTTACAGTAAAACTTTTCATGCGTTTTTAAGGACCCACTGATACTTTAAACTGTACTTAATTTGACTTTTATGTCTGCTCGTACCTTCTGGCAGTGAGTTGAGGTACTGTTTCATGAGGCTTTGAACCCTCTCCAGGTAGAGCTGGATCAGCACATTGTGAAACTCCGGGCCCTTATCGTCCCACACGTAAATGATGTGCTCCAAATATGGGATGGCGAGCTCCTTAAAGCCCTCCTTCAGGAAGTTCAGCACCTTGTCTCTGGGCAAAGTCTCCACCTCGGTCAGGTCCTCGGTGAAGATCTGGACAGGAAGAGAGATTTTTAAACCTTCTTCACGATGAATAAAATCATAAAATATAGTTAGACCTTAAAAAGAAACCGACTGTCACTGTGATAACTGGAGGTAATGGGAGTTAAAAAAGGTACAAAATAAGAATGAGCTTCCGCCTATATTCAAACAGCAATAGATAGAAAAATGTAAAGCAACATTGATCTGCTTTATAAAATAAAAACAAAAACGGTGTCCCACCTTCAGACCATCCTCAGGACAGATCTTCAACACCCAGGGAGAAAACTCAAAGATGATTCCCAGATTCTCCACTCCTGTGTGTAGAGCATTACAATAAATCAGTAAGTTTACCTGCACCAAGGAAACTCAGAGGAAAACAAGTAAAGCTGGAGATATATCACATGATCAAGCCCACAATCAGCCACCAGTTTCAGAAAACTAAAAATCAATAACTCATTTCAACATAAATCTATTGATTTACTCAGTTATTGGCAAAATATAATATTAAAGTATTTTTTGGGGCAAAAAATCTTCAGGTTTTGTAGTGTTAGTCGGACAAAAAAACAGACATCTGAAGGTTTTTAGAAGGTGTTGTTGTGTTTGATGATAAAAACCTATTTGTGTTCCAAAAATGGACTAATGATTCGATCATTAAAGATTTTTTGTAGTTTGTTTGTAGTTGGTAGAATACAGCAAAACTATGCTGTATACATTGTTATTCATATATTTATTGCTTTATTACCCATTATCAGTATTTGGGGCTACCACTAAGCATTAAACAAATTAAAGTACTGCCAGGGAGGCAGTGAAAGCCTCCACACAGCTTTTTACAGTTCTTGCCACTAGGTCTTGTTTTCAATTTACCGGATTGTTCTGAGTTAAACCACATTCTGGGAAACAGGTGAAAGGCTGATAAACAAAAACATCATCAGTCTCAACATGTTTTTTCTACAGCAGAGAAAGAGAAAACCTTCAACCTGGAGAAATAATATCCTCTTTGTGACCAAGCGCAGTGCTTTTAAAGAAAAGTGCTTTAAGTTATAACAAAACGCTGGCACTACATATAAAACTGGTATTTAAAAAAGGCCTTAAATCATGCACATCATGGGCTACAAGGGACATGTAAATGATCTAATCATTACACCACAGTGTCACAATCGATTCAAAACCAATATATTTAACAAAAGAACACAGAGCACCTTCTAACAGCCAACTCTCGGTGAGTACACGCATTAATCTTGGCATTAATCTTGGCATCACTGGTGCACAGTTACAAACGATTCAGCGTTACACAGTGAAGACAGACACATATGGTATAAAAACCTCTCATTTAATCTCTGCCAGACATATTAAAGACTGCAGGTCATGACATGTGACAGAACGCAGACTATATATTTCATCCAACATCCACAATTAATCAGGTTGAAAGATTCCTCAGAGGCTTTCCCAAAATCGCCCTAACAAATATAACATATCTAACGGAGACGACAACTTTGACGCTAAGCTGAAACAGACTTGAGTTGGCCGTTGATCCTTACCCAGCCTTTGGAGGTACTGCACTGTTCGCTCGTGGCCCTTCAGTGGAGAGTTGGCCTTGGTGGACTGGTCCAGCAGCACCTGCAGAGCTGCGAGAGGGCAAACAGGGTGAGGAAAAGTGAGGGGAGGGGCAAGTAAAAGGGGAGCAAATGTGAGATTAGTCTTGAGTGATGGAAAGTAGCAAGATGTCATCTACTCTGGTGTGCACTGCATTGCATAATTCCTCTGTCAACAGAAATTGGACGAAGCACAAGCGGCGTTAATTGGTGGACGGGAGCAGCTGGTTTGAATTGGCAGAGATAAAGAGAGAGGCAGACTTGAGCAGCATGACATCACGAGCACAAATTGCAGAAGGCCGATTAAAACCAGCCGCGCTCACAGCGAGAGCGGGCCCAGAATCTGCTGCAGAACACCGCCAGAAACCAAATGACATTAAGACAGCTCTGATCTACGAGGATGACGAGTCGACCACATGCAGGAAACCTCCTCTGAGATAAACTGTGTAGCCCGACAGAGATGATCCACCCCCGTGCCCAGAATGCAGATTTGTTACAAGCACATAAACGGTACCTATTGAATTCAAACATAATGGAACAATTCATGCTTACAATGGCACTTGTATTTGGATTGGGAGGTAATGAGGAGAGCGCTGACAAAGGCCGATGTAGGTCTGGCATCAAGTGATCCATCATTTAAATACTAAACTCTCAAATTCAACAACAATTTGAATGTGAAATTGGAAGCAGATGTTTCATTGTGTTTTATTGTTTTGTGTTCGGTTGTCATGCTGACAGATAAACCGCACTTTGAAAAATAAAACTGAACTCTGATATCAGTCATTATCCAGTTGATTGACTCATCTATTGTCTGCTGCCTGATGATTAACTGCATACTCCAAACACATCAGAAATTTAATTAGAAAGTGATTCTCCATATTATTATTTTCTTTTGAAAAGTTGAATAAAATACAGCTCTAAGTCCTACTTTCAACATTTTACTTACTTAAGCACAAAAACAAAAACCTATTAGCAGCAAAATGTACTACAAACATCAAAAGTAAAAGGCCTCATTGAGAGTGTTGCAGCATTTAATACAGCTGGTTGAGGTGAAGCTATATTTATATTAACTTAGACTTTTGGTTTATCCGTTTCTGTTTAATGTTCTTGTTTCTCACGGTCATGTGCTTTTTAATATATGTTCTACCTTCTACTTGTGTATTCAGCTTAAAGTGGCCATTAAAAAAGCCCATTTGAACTTGCAATTGATCTCAAAATATCTTGCCAGATTTCCAGGGGAGCCATCAACAGCTGAAGGAGGTGTATAAATCCCACCATTTCAAATTAATTAATACGCTTCACAAGTAAAATAAAACAATAGAAGCACAGTTCAGTACAAATATACAAATACAGACTTGGCATTAACAGCATGTTTCTGAGACAAAGTTGTGTAAAAAGTAAGAACTGCTTTTTACATAAATTGTCCTCTTGACACCAGGTCATTTATTTTGTTTGTGTGATAAAAAAAGCAGATTTTTAACAGACAGTTTTCAGATCTTAGCTCACAGAACTGGATACAAAGTCTACAAGGTTTAACTTGTTTGCTGTGAATCAATGGCTATTCAAAAATGAAAAGAGTAATGCATAACTGCACAATGACTCAAACCCACAAATTTATTTATATGGACAGCGTTTAGATTCCCAGAAGTCAGATCTTCATCAAGTCAAAATGTTTAAAAATGACCACACCCATATGAATATGAACGAAATAAAACAAACATTAACTCAAAAGAGTACTGTAGGAGTTCACAGACAATATTTATTATATTATTATTATTATAAAGAAAAATGTGTAAGTTGTTTGAGCTGATGAAGGTCCAACTAGGATCGAAACTTTGCCTGTTTTCATTTGTGATTTGAAGTCAGTGTGCAGGCGTTCCTCTCTTCAGGAGCCATCTATCAGTTTTCTATTAGCCCTGCATCTACGTGTGATAATTAAGCTCTGATTCACATGATTATGCAGAACTTTCCTGCAGTTAAGACTTGAAGATTGTTCAGATGCTGAACAGATGCTCCATAAAACCCTGTGATATGATGATGAGTTTTGCAGCACAGGTGGTTGACCAACAAGCAGACCCTTACCTTTCTGGTGCAGGCCCTTCTTCTCATACAGAATAATGAGCTCGCTGTACTTATGGGCCTTCTTCAGGACGTACTCGCTCTCCTCGATGTGGCAGTGGTTGTTTTCCAGGCGAAGGAGGGGGGACACCAGTGCCACGTTGGTCTTAATAGGGGGGAGAATGAGAGCAGATTACCTAATGTGAACACCACACATTTCCAAACTTGAATCCATTCACCCCTCTTAAAGGTCAGGTTGTGTTTCACTGAAAGACTACAGGGCAGGTGATTTACACTGATTAGTTCATCCTCTCTGCTTCCCAGGATGTTCATTTAAATAATCTGGTGCAGATGCTTGGCACTCTTGTCTTAGAGTATCTCCAGTCACTCCAAGTTTATCCCTCCACGGTGATGTAGGTCTGCAATCGGAGTTCCTCTGATTAATGGTGCTTATTATACCTCCAAAGGAAAGCACCTGGTGGCACTTTTTCCTGGATACCCATGCCACATGAACTGACTCGTCTAAACGCGGAGGAGAGGCAGAAAGACTCTCAGTCCAACTGAGTGTTTTGCTCTTCACACAAAGCCCAACCGTCCTGAGGAGAAACTTTCTCTGGCTGCTTATATCTGTGATCTCAATCCAGCAGAAGTTGCTTTTTTATACCGTAGATGAGGGTTGACAAACAGATTGCCTGGTAAATCGAAAGTTTTGCTTTGTTGCCCAGGCATCCACTTCCCTAAATGAACACCAGACCCACATTACTGCAGCTACTACACCTAGATGGCAGCCATACTCAGTACTTTTAAGTGTGAGTCAGGTTTTGTTGCTTCAAAGTAAATCTACCAATGAGCCGCCTAACAGAAAACCCATTTGGCTACGTGTGAGGCAAAGTTAAGTGCCTAGTGTTCCTGCCAATGTTTGGAATGACTTTCTTTTGATATCGTACCACTTTGCTGTGAGTGGACGGTAATGACTGCCAAGTTCATAAGAGCAGACATAGCTTTTATATTGAAATGTAAAAGTTTGGATTGGGTTCACTAACAACTGCCAGTTGATTGTTAATCAAAAAGTATGACGAGTCATGAGTGCCAAAGAGAAAGAAACAGACTAACAAAAAAATAAGTCTGTTTTGGTTGTTTTGTTTGACTAAAAATGAACATAATGTACAGAGTATATGCTGTATATTCTGCAAGACACTGAATTATCAATAGCAAGTAATAATTATTGTTCAAAACTGTCAGTTTGGGCTGAAATTGCTCCATTTTTGTTAATGCAGAAACAAAAGAAAGATAGTCTAGGTAGCCTTACGTGCAGGTAACATTTCAGCAGGGTGGTGTCAATGATCTGCAGGAGTTTTTTGCGGCTTTTAATAGTAGGCGTCCCCTCCATGAGTGGAGACGTCGTAGAAGGGTCAGAGTCATTCAGCTGCTTCACAAGGTGGCTGCGTTTCTGTGAGGAGGAAACAAAAAAGAAGATTTACACCAATTATCTTGACCCTCATCCTAATATGCTTAATATGCGTTGGGTTTTTGTTAGTTTTCCTCTAAGTAAAGCCTCATTCAAAGCCTAAATCCTCTACAAAGTGGTGAGGACATCATACACACACACACACACACACCTGGGTGAGGTAATCGATGAGAGCGAGATGAGCCTTCTCCAGCTCTGCCCCGGACAGAGTAGGCAGAGGGTTGGGATAGTGCAGCTGTTTGCGGTAGTCTGACGGGAGCAGGTCGGGGTACAGCCCAATCACATGAGTGGGATCTGCAGAGCACAGGAGGGGAATTTACTTTATTCGTACTTTATTCCACGTAGGATACTTCAGTTTGTTTATCAGCCGTTTGATTAAAGGGAAAACTGATTTGAGTACAGCGTTTCTAATACAAACACAAAACATTACGTATACTGTAAAAAGAAATGAAATCAATAGCTCATTAGAGAAAGAAAAAGTCTGTCATCAGTATGGAAGTAATTCCTTCATCATTACATGTGAAAGTCATATGTGAATAAAAATATATACACAATAAGCAACAGATGTCTAATGAGTTCAGGAAAAGAGAAAAAAAGTAGGGGAAGAATAAATGTGATAAAAATAATGACAAGATTCACATTATTTAGGCTGCGATACAGAAATAGGGACCATTAGGGGCGTTTATCACACTGGGACACATCATCTCCTCAAAGTACAGTCCACTATATTTACTTTAAGATGTCCACACTATGGACACTTATTGAGCCCTATGTTTAAACAGCCACGTGTTACAGGTTTAAACAAATAAATATTGGAACACATACAATTTCATAGAAGTCTGACTCTGTCTTAAGAACTTGGCCTGAGCAGGCAGAAATCAGGTGTTCGCTGGGAGGGAGGAAAACCTCACCTGTGCCGAGTTTGGCAAACACCTGCATGGAGTCATCGAATCTCTTCTGGCAGAACAGATTGAAGGCATAGAGATTCTGGATGTGATGTATCTGCTGCTTCTTATCACCGTCTGAATCATCCTTCATCTTCTAGCAGGAAAAAAAAAATTCATCACGCTACGGTTTTTTTATGAGAATGCTTTCTTCCAAGAGTGTTAAAAAAGCACATGAATGGCCTTTATTCTTGGAAATGCCCTTGGAAAGCTAGATTGCTACAAAGCTGGGAGCACTTTACTGTTTCAACGTACAGCTTCTAATCAAGATAAGTGATTTTAAAGTTCAATCCTCTGAGTTGAAGCGCTCATTTAATCGTGAGGAATTTAATAACGAGGTTTAATAGTGAGGGGGTCTGCTGCTCACCGCCAGCTGAAGAGCCAGCTCAAACTGCTTGTCCTGAAGAAGCTGCCGGATTTGGCTGGCTATTGATACGGGCACCAGACGCCACACAAAGTGGTTGCTGGCAACATACACAATATTTGGCCTGTGAAAGATAAGAGGAGAAAACAAGATTAGCGAGAACAGTTTGGAACTAAAGTGTTCGCTTTGAAAGGAGGAACTGACATCATCAGTATCATTATCAGGAGGAACAGAAACCAGTGATGAGGCCAAGCGGCAAATCACGCATAATGTTCTTCTAAGGCTGTGGTGCATACAAACCAGAGTGGTACACAAAGAAAAGCCAACATTCATTATCAAATCTATAACTTTAAGCTGGGCGTTTTGCAATAGCCACTGCAGGGTTTTTTATTGACTTCAAACACTGCAGTACTGCACCATACTGCCACCATGCTTATTTTCTCATTACAACATGAATGTTTTCTCATTTTAACAAGATATTTTTCGTGTTGTCAGACATATTTTCTTGTAATTATACCAAATTATTGAGAATTTTCTTTTTATAACAGCATATCACCTCATGTTTTTATTACAAGAAACCTTTCCCATCATAACACAAAATAAACTTAAAATAAAACAAGAAATGTTTCACACAACATGATAAGTGTTATTATACAAGACAACTCATTCATTTTTTAATTCATTATGATTCTTTTCACCATTTGATGAATGAAAATGGAAAAATGTGCAACAATGCAACCAGCATGATGTAAAAGGTCAGACTTGTACATAAAAGAAAAGACTAAATCATGCTATATTTCAGTGAAAATTAGGTATTCTAACTGCAGTGCATAAATCACTTTGTGAGGATAAACATTGTAAAGAGATTACCAATGACTAATGAGACGACAAAACTTCACTGGAGGACTACTCACCCTGCTGAAGTAATGAAGCGAGGCCTCTGCAGCTCCACACTCTGCACCAGCAGCCTTGGCTCAAAGGTCCGGATCTCCACGTACCGAGGGAGAACAGCGATGATGTACGGAGGCTGGTGCTCTGAGAACATTTGAAAAGAGGCAAGAGCGTAAAACTTATGTCCACGTCAACCAAAACCTAAACCTTAAAAATATTACATATCTTCTGCCAGTCATCAACTATCTGTGGACTTACATACAGTAGTTGTTGTTGAAGTTGCTACATGGGTCTGACAAAATGAATAATACAACACAGTCTAAACAAAGGGGTTCACCTTTTTAAGGGAGAACAGGTAACTTGACTGATTTTTATTCTGGTTTTGCCAACAATATATATTTTTTTCTTTTGTTCGACAGTTGAAAGCAAAAAAGGCAGACGGGAAACAAAGGTCAAGAGACGGGTGTGACATGCAACAAAGGCCCTCAGTTGGAAACAAATCAGGGACGTCGCGGTTACGTGGCATGTGCAGTAAATATTTGGCAACCAGGGCGGTCCTACAATTTATCCTACAAGCAACTATTTGCACAAACTTTTACCTTAATCTAACCTAATCTACTCTGTGTTTTCTTTATTAATGGATTAAAAAACATTCCTTGTTTGTCCAATCAATAGTATCTCATCCACAATTATATAAAAACAGAGAGAAACAGCAAATCCACACATTGGAGAAGCATGAAGCAGTGAGTGGATGGCATATGTATTTGCTTGATAAATGTTGTTGAATGATACATTTTCCATCGATCCAGTAATCAGTTACTAAACAGTTTCAGCTCTAACGATGTTTGAGAGTTTTGATGTCCACCCAACCTAAAATCTTGAGAACAGGTGCCTCAGCTGTGATTATGGAGTGAAGACCTTGAGGCTAATGGGGCAGGAAATCCAGCCGGAGACAGCTATCTAGACAGGCCTGAGCTGAGGTTGGACTGGATTTGGGACAGACTACGCCCACAGGCCCTCCGCTCCAGCCATGAACACTTAGGATGGACAGTCAGATGTATTTTGAACAGACCAGCACTCATCCTCTGCTGATGCGCGCCAAAGCCGCAATGTTGACTGTATCAAAACAAGGAAATTGCAAACTGTATGAAACCACTGCTTGGAGGCTTCATTTCCCCTTCACATTGTTCCTTTCAGCATTCCAATGAGCACGGAAAGTGAGACCTTTAAAACAATGTGACGGCTCATCTGCATCACTTCTGTCACAAAGCTCATTTGTAACCCAGACCTGTGGTGTCTTAGTCACAGGATAAAAAAGCTGATCTAAAATTATGTTTCCTCTTCTGACATGTGGAAAACGGCAGCCCAGCTCAGACAGAGTGGAAAGAAGGACTTTGCACAGGGGATGGAAAGCTTGAGGAAGAGAAAAGAAAAGACAGACAGCAGCTCCATGACAACAACTGACAAAATAATTGGCAGCATTTACGCTTCATCGGGTGGTTTAGTTTCCAAGTACTGCTATGTGAACAAACTTGTTCAATCAGTGTGACAAGAAGAGAATAAATTGTACTGCTTACGCACAGGCATAGTCCACATAGACAACATTTCTTAACCAGTCAGTGAAATCAAACAGCAGCATACTGAACACTTTATACAAATGCAGTATAAGCTGCATATAATTCAAGATCATATGAACTATTAACAAACTGAAACCTCTATCAAATGATGGAAAGGGGAAGAAGATGCACTTATGTTTGCTCCTTTGATCCACCTAAACGTGCCCACACAAAGTTTGAATTGTGATATATTTGAAGCTGACTATGATTTCTAATTTGGGTGTGAAACAAACACCTGCCTGTGACCTAGAAAAAGGTAACGCTTACAGCATTCACTGAAAGTGTGATCTTCACAGCAGCTTGTCTTCCATCCCGACGTGCCAAAATGCTGAAAACCTGTTTCTCCTTGTGCTACTTCCTCATTTTGTCCTCTGTGGTTTTTTCTCTTGCCAGTGGAGAAAGGTATTATTATTATTATGGGAAAACTGTTAAATATTAAGTAGTCTGATAACTTATAGCACACAATGTCTTTGGCAAAATCAATAGATGTTTACTTTTGAGATACCATGAACTCTAATGAATAATAATAACAGTTAATTAAAAACAGTTAATTAAATTGTGACTAAGAGGGCAACGTGCTGTTTAATACTGCAGATTTTTTAAGGTTTTACTTTTTGAAATGAGTCACAAGGAAGCACAACAAAATAATTAGGCTGATTTTGTTTTTCCCCCTGAGTGATATCGACTGCCAGGGGTGACACATTTTGGCAAAACACCTTCTCTCCTCCTGCTTTCTGGAAGACTAACTCACATAGAGAGCCAGGAGGGGATCTCTGGGTAATTCAGCAACTCATGTAATTTAGCAATGTGACCTTTTGACTTTGCTGTCAGTTCCTATTGATATCGAATACAAGTTAACTCTAGCAAAGACATCGACAGTCATAACAGGGTAGAAAAAGCTACTTGGACTGGGGGTGTAGAGGCTCTTTTTGCATATAAGCAGAAATAGAACAGCATGAGCAACTAAAGTCAACAAACTGAATGCAGAAAACACATAAAACACATCGAAGTGTAAAATCACACAATTACTGAACATGAAAAGGTCTTCATAGTTGTTGTGCCTCTTTCTCACCCATTGCTATAGGGATGTCGGTCCAGTTCAGGGCACACTTCTGGGTGCAAACGCCCTCTTCATTTAGCACTACGGTGAGGTCATCCTGACCAACAGCAACCTTTCCATCAGCCAGTGGGGCAACCAGAGGCTCCAACTGTTTCCCAGTGGGGAAGAGCTCCTTGATGGAGCCACGACCATCCATCTGGTTGACGGGAGAGATACCACGAGTGAGTCATAAGATACAGAACCTGTTACTAACATCTTACAAACTTAATCTGTAAGGTCAAGTACAAAGTGCTTTGGACAAACAGTAAAACAGCAGTAAAGAAAAGTTAGACTGGCAATAACACTACCAAACATTAGCTGATAATAAAAATAACTAAAGAAGAAGCCCAAAATAAACACAAACTAAAGGACAACAAGCAGACAGTAGCTGATTATATAACAGGCTGCTTCTAAACTTTGCAGAAGTGGTATAAAAAGATCATTTTAAAGTGATACTCCTTCCAAAAGCCATCTATGAAACACAGAAGCACTGTACACTTGAAAGGCACTGACTAGAGGTTTACAGTTTTCATAGTTTCTGTCACAGAGAAAAAGATTCAAGCTGGCGATGTTTAGAATAAACTGAGCGTACAGACAGACAGGAGAAGTGAATTAGGCTTCATGAGTGGTTTGGGTGGTTTTCTATGGGACGTCACTGAACGACTGTCACCATTGGGATCCATTTTACTGCCATGAATACAACCTGACTATAGCTGAACACACTGCAAACCTTTTACAGCCTTCCTGAAAGACTACATGGCGTGTGCATTTCATATTCAAAAGATGACGACAGGAGGTTATGAGAGGAGTGTCACTTTAAGCTGTAGGGAGCTACAGATAAGAAAGGGCTGAGTGTAAAAATCCTTTGCTTTTGCACATACCCGAATGAGGTAATAGTCTCGTTTGAAACCAACACATATGGAGTTTTCACACCAAGCCATGGACTTTGGAATATCTGGAGCACCAAAGTCCCCCTGACAGACAAAAAGAAAACATTGTCTACATGTGTCAAAGGATAGGGAAAACACTGCAGTGACTCACACCTCAAATATATAATTTACCTGCAGCTCGTGAAACTCTCTATCCTTCCAGTAATACAGCTGGAGTTTCTTTTTCACTGCGACACACATTCTCAACCTTTCCTCTCCTGTGCTGGTTAGCTGAGGACAAAGGAGACAAAATATACAATTCATGACTCAAAATCTGAATATAACAGAGAAGTGTGGAAACCAAATGTAGGAAAATCATACCAGTTTTAAATATTGTCTTTATTGATTTTGTAACATAACAGTCCTAGGGCTGATTGAATAATGCAACAATGTGCAATATTATAATCACACAGATGCCTGATGAGCCCACCGCTCCCTTCCTCTCTTCACCAGCCATCCCTCACTACCACAACACATCCCTTTAGGTCCGACCACTAATTTCTACAAAATATGTACCGATTCTAAGAAAAAGGAACAAATGAAAACAGTAGTGAATTAAAAAAACAAGACGAGGGGAAGGAAATAAAACAACCATGTGTGACACACATGACACTTCCCGATATTTAGGTGAATAGTAAAAGGAAAACCTTGTTGTCTCCAGAAAGGTTATAAAACAACATCAAATCTTCTTAAATTCTCCCTTCAGGTTATATTCTATAATATCTTTTCTTTTGGTACATGTGTCGTTCATTTATTAGTCCATGTAGCCCATTTAAGCTTGGTTTTATTTATGTTTTAGTCCATTTACTGCAGATTGTGTGTATCTTACATTACCGCTTAACATTTAGAAACATACTGTTGCATAGGTGTCTAATTTTCCCGCCTTTAGACTCGACACATGCTGGAGCTTTGTAATCCATAACAATGAACATCATATGCATTTTTATTCTTGTCAAGGATATGTTAGCAAACACTTTTTAATTTAAAAAAGTATAATTGGTTATTGGTTTATGTGCTGGTGTGAGGCAGCAGCATGTGAGATCTGTTGCTTCGGCTGAAGGAAAAGTCAAATCTGCATATAGAATTGTAACTACTCTTATGTCTCCTGCCCTTTAATCGCTTTTGTTAGTTCAAGCGTTACTAAAGCATTTACCAAAAATATGCAATATGAAGGATTACCAATCTTAATCCTTTAAGTTTTTTTCCCTATCGCACTAAATATTAATTGCAAATCAAAAAAAGGTTTCATGCAATGTAGAAAACAAAAAAAACACACATTTAAAAGTTGAGCTCAAGTAAACAGTCAGCAGTAATATAAATTAAACTGCACAGAAGTTGCAGTAAATTGGTCTGGGTATACAAAAACATGACACACTCAAAGCTCCCTGTTCATTAAACAGCTCCCCATTAAGACACTGACTCATCTGCCTTTCCTCACAGCCAGTCAACTAACTTGTAGCTGTATGATTGCAGTATTTCACACACCGTAAAAGTGAAAGATTTAGACTCTGAAGCAATACAAATGCATAAATACGACACGATATACGACGATGGTGGACTGCTACCACATGGGAACCGTGACTGACCTGCAGGTCACAGGCGAAGAGCGTGGCTCCTTTGGCTTTGGACAGCACGGTGATCTGCTGGAAGGTCAGGAGGTCATGGACGTGGATGTTGTTCTCTGCAGGAGAAGCAGACACGTAAAAACACCTGAGAAGAGGGCGAAGGTAAGTGCTACGCTTTGTCTCAACACACGAGAAGACGATGCAGTCATCAGGCGAAGACGCCACCTGCACGATCTTTTAAACTGATAATATACAGTATATATATATATATAATAATAATAATAATAATAATAATACATTTTATTTAAAGGCGCCTCTCTGGGCACTCGAG